GGTTTTATATCTTAATTGCATAAATGAAAATGTAAATTTGAAATAAAAGAAAATATTAATACTTATGTCAAATAGAATTGTATCATGCAGCATTCATCTAGCAAGACCATTAATAAATACTTGGAGAGTGTGAACTTTTTAGATTTACTTAATGGCAATAAACCATTGTTCAGATAAATAAATAAATAAACGTATATCTATGTCTGCATATGCTAGAATATATAATCTATTACCTAGAATAAGACATACAGGAACTATTAACCAAGTTCCATATAACAAGAACAACACTTGCGGTCAGGTCGATCTATTTGATCTAACTCTATTGTGTTTATGTGGGTGTTATAGATTGAATTGTGTCCCCTAAAAATGTGTCAACTTGGTTAGGTCAAGATTCCCAGTATTGTGTGGTTGTCCACCATTTTGTGATCTGATGTGATTATCCTATGAGTTGTAAATCTTAACTTCTATGATGTTAATGGGACAGGATTAGAGGCAATTATGTTAATGAGACAGGACTCAATCTATAGGATTAGGCTGTATTTTAAATCAATCTCTTTTGAGGATATAAAAGAGAAAATCAAGCAGCGAGGAGTGGGACCTCATAACACCAAGAAGGAAATGCTGGGAGTGAGCGTGCCCTGTGGACCTGGGTCCCTGCACTAGAAGCTCCTAGACTGGAGGAAGATTGGTGATAAGGACCTTCTCCTAGAGCCGACAGAGAGAGAAAGCTTTCCCCTGAAGCTGGTGCTGTGAATTTGGGCTTCTAGCCTACTGGACAGTGAGAGAATAAATTTCTGTTTCTTAAAGCCATCCACTTGTGGTATTTCTGTTATAGCAGCACTAGATAACTAAGACAGTGGGGAAATACTGTTGTGGAAAAAGTGGTCTTTAGACAGAGCGTTGGCATAATCTTAGCTCCCCACTTATCAGCCATGTTACTTCTGGCAAGATATTCTACCTCTCCAAACTTCAATTTCCTTACTGTTAAAATTAAGACTATAAATTGAATGTTATATAGTCACTTCTGCTATTATGCAACATACATATTCATGAAAACCACCATGCTATACCAAACTCACATAATAAAACCAGAGGGCTTATGGGAAAAATAGGGATGGGGCATAATGCTAAAACATTCATCAGTGACACATTAAAAAAAAAAAAATTGGGACCCAATAAAAATGGTAGCAGAGTTTTACACATGTTAAATGGTTAAGAAATACGTAAATACAATAAATATAGTACTTTGCCCTAAAAATACCTGGAGTTTACTTGTGGAAGTGGGCATCAGAAGGGTTATAGCATATGTGTTATTGTAAAGTGGTGAAGGAGAGTTATCTGAAATTGGAGGGAAAGTTGTAACACCAGATGTAGATGGGTGTGGGATGTGCAGATGTTTGAGGTGTTTGTGTGTTCAAGTCTTTTTCCCCAGCTTGGTTCAGCTGGGTGCAGTTACTGCATTCACCTAGTGTTTCTTACAGACAAAACTGTGCATAAGCAAACGTGAAATTTGTGTTATGCTCAAATTGTTCCCTAATATGTCACTTACATTGAAACAAATTTGTGGTTTCAAAACAAGTTTATAGTATATGCTAAGCACTGGAGATGAAAAAAAATACAATTATCTTTCCTTCAAGAAAATCACAATCTAGTGGGATAATGTGTTTTTAAAAGTGAATAATTATAACACAGAATGATAAATGACACAATAAAAATAAACATCTCATTTTAAAGAGCATTTGAAGTGGCTTATTAAAATTCATAGAGGAGGATTTTATTTCTCATAATGGTGGTTTATATAATTTGGGTAACGTTGTTTCAAACATCTACTTAAAAAATCAGTGAGCTAGTAAGGGACTGAAGAATTACTAGGCCATGATTCTGGAAAGGACAGAGACCCAGGGAGAAAGGAGAGGCAGTCTTTGAAGCCTCTTTTCCCCTAGCTGTATTTACTGATTTGAGAGGGACAGCTGAAAGATTGAGAGGTGCTTCTTCCAGCCTTATAAAGCTAGACATGCAGGGACTGAAGTTCAGGGCTTGTCAAGGAGGTAGGAGACACGAGTGAAGCCTCTCCTTTTGGGCTGGGAAGAAGGGTGACCTAAAATTAGAGAAACCCTCTTAGGGACTTCAGCTCTACTTTGAATCATTTGAGTCCTTGGTGACCCCAGTTTCCTTATGTCTGGCAGAACCAAATATACAACCTCTGTGGAGGAAGACAACATCATCCTAAGCCTAAAAAATATTTTTAAAATAATTTTACAAATACAACACGTGGCACGTTTTGTTCTCATTTTAGTTGAGATTTCCTCTCCTTTAATAGTTACATTAAACAGTAAGCTGACACAATTTTGAGACAAAGATTTCTTAGGAAAACTTTGGAAGTATTACAGGTTCCATTTGTTGCGATAATCTGAGAAAGATGTACATTAATCTTGGTAGGATTTACTTAGAAACAATGGTTACAGTCACATTTTTTTTTCAAAATGGAAAGATGAATACTAAGAAACAACACTACAACAAATATTTCTTGAATATTTTGGGTAATCTTAAACTTTGAAAAAGAAAATTAAAGACACTGCAGAAGTGGATACAGAAAGGGGGGAAGTTAGCTTGTGTTCAACAGTAGGAAATGAAATTGGTTAGGCAAGAGAAAACACTTGTTCCATTGGTACAGATCTGCAAAAATGCCAGACCATTTGGAAAATCTGTTCTCAAAAATAGGAACTGCCTCTGCTTAAAACTGTGCCATGGAATTAGGGTTCTTGTGTGCAAGCAACAGAAACCAAGTCTGGCTAACTTACCCAGAAAAGAAATTTACCGGAAAGGTACCAGCTAGCTCAAAGAATCAAAGCAAAGCCTGGCGAAGGATAGGAACCAAGAGAGGCCAGGTGGCAGAATTGCAGCAACTGCCTAGTTAAGGAACCCCTTTTGGCCCCATTTTTCTGCTGTTGACTGGGAATTGTCAATGACCTATAAGTTAAAATAAGTTTCGTCATGTATTAGGTGTAAGATACTCTTCAAGCATTGCTTTTGTGTGTATTTACCCTATTACTAATGTAGGTCATTGTTTACCATTTATATCTCTTTTTAGGATAATTTTCTATTTTTATCCATTGTCCATTTGTTACATGAACTGAGATTTCTTTTTTCTGTTCTTTTCAACATTATTTCTATTTTAATAGGAAACATGTTTTATTACAAGAAATGAAGCTGTAATGGTGGAATTTCATGGTGTGAAAATAAAGTAAGGCAATGCAATGAGTGTACTATTAGAGACATAAAACATGATCTAAATTAAAGGACCTCGAATTCTGAAGGTTGATAAAAGCAAGTATCGTATATCAAATGGCCCTAGTTCAAGAAAAGTCTGGATGGTTGGTCCAGGCCAATCATTTATTAAAGGGTTTGATCCGCTGTGTCTCTTTTGTTACTACCTCAGGTTATTTAAAATCACAATCAGCTTCATTGGATCACATACAAAGATGACTTCAGTTTTCAATATATTTGCAATTGAATTGCAGAGAAGGCTTAAGATAATATCCTAAGCTGGAAAACACTCCAGTCAGATTTTGGTGTATTTTGAATAAACGGATAAGGGCTGTTAGTATTGAGGGGTCTCCCCTCACCCCATACCAGCAGAAATACTGCAGTTGTATTGAGCGGTCAGTGATTCATTTCTTTTAATATAGTTAAGTCATTCAACAAATATTTATTGAGCTCCTTCCTAGTACATGTTTGGGATATATTAATGAATCAAAACAGGCAGATTCCGGCTACTACATTCTGAGGTGGAGACTGCACAGCAAAAGAAAAGCAAGGATTCATCCTAAGAAAATAAAAAATAAGGTACTTGTTCTAATTAAGCGGGTAAACTGGCCTGTGAGGAGAGAAGGCACTAAGCAGTGTTAAATTCACATCGGGCCCAACGGTGGATTTAAGTAACTGACCGACACAGGACTGGTTGCTAATTATAACTTTGAAATCCTTTAAGGTAGTTAATGTCCCTTATCAAAGTAATAAGGGTATTAGGCCCTGAGGAAAAAAGTACAGTTCAGAGAAGCATTAGTAGAAAATGCGCAACGGCTCTTAATTGAAATTCAATCCAAATCAAATGTGGCTTGCCTATTTATAATCTGATTTATAATTTTGGCAGGCCAAGTGGTGTTGGGTTGTGTTTCTCAACCGGCACAAATTACGGGCTGAAAGCTTAACTGCTTCGCGCTCTTCATTTTTATGGGAACGCTAACGTTCCGACATGCCTAAGTGATAACGTTTTAACAACGGCGCAACGAAAAAAAAAGCATCCTATGACACAACGCAAACCACCTAGACAGCCTAAGCAAATTCGCTGTACTGCGGCTTAACTCTTTATTAGGCGTAGTCGAGTTCATCAGACGCCACTTAGGAAAAGGATTAAGATCGTGGCCATTTTCTATTCTCGCAGTGCGTTTGGTACATTTTATAATAAAGCAAAAGTGATATATCTTAGTCTTCAGTTAGGCGTCCAAGAATAACAAACTCAACGCTTCCCCGCGGAGGGAGACCAGGGCTTGCAGTCACCTTCACCTCTTGCCTCCCTCCCGGTCTTTTCCTGAGTGAGGAATTTTCCTGAGTGAGGAACAGGTTTTAATCGGGCCTGACTCGCAGTACACCTGACTTGGCCCAACGGAAAAAATGGACCATAAGAGCTAATGACAGCAGAAACTGGAGGGCGACAGTGAAATCCAGAAAGTCTCCCAAAGCGAGGCACAGACGACAACCAATGCTACTTCGGCGCCAAGGCCTAGGAAAACACACCATACCACCGTCTACCGCCCCCACAGGCGGATGCTACCGCCTTGGGCCGGAGGGCGGAACCGCCAGATTTTCGCGCGAGACCAGCTACGAGACTTCCCAGCTTGCCTTAGGCAACATCTTAATACTGGCCGGGGAGCTAGTCCAGGGCGGGAGGGAGGGGGCGGGGCTTGCCCAGATATTTAGCGGCACCGGAGGCCACGCCCAAAGCCGGAAGTGACGGAGACGAGGTAGCGCGTCGAAGGTACCTTTATGGTTTTCCTCCCGTTCTTGAGTCGGGAAATGGCCGCTGTGTAGTTACAACGGAGGTTAAGTCCCGGGAACCGTGCTTTGGCGTATCAGGTAGGCCTTGCGCGGCAATCAAATGACTAAAATGGTAGTGAATACCGAGGACGGGTGAATATTTGTTGACTCTTTTGTGTGTGGTGACGGGTTGGCGACGATAGGATAACTCAGGACGCGTTGTGCTGTTATTTATGCCCTTTCGTGTCAGCTTTTCGTCAGGATTCCGAGGCACTACAGGCCCTAAAAGGTGGTGGTGGGGGGTAGGGGAGCAGTTCGAACGGTGCGCGCGCGCGCGCGAACCTAGCTCGAGACCTCGAGACCGCACCGCCCTCTCGTGCGCGTGCGCGTCTCCTTTCCAATCCTTCCCCCATTTTGTCGGCTCGGACCCCCGCGCGCGCCCGACCAAACGCTCCTCCGCGCACGCGCCCGAGCTGCTTTCTCCCTTCTCCGCCTACGGCTCCCGCGGCCGCCCGCGGTGCAACTTGTGTCGTCTTCTCATTGGCTGGGATCGCCACTTGTCTTCCCGGCTGGTTTGGGGCTTTGACAAAATCACTGTGACCTGCAGCATAGTGCATAGGGTAGGTCGATCCTTTTTCGCGTGGTACCTCAGTATCTTTCCCCGGCTCCAGGATGCCTGTCGGTTTACGCCGCATTTTTGTTATTACGCGTCTCAGGAACCTGTCCTGCTGCCCCTCGTAACTGACCCCGGCACCCCGCCTCGGTCCCTCGGTGTTGCGGGAGAGTTTTCTCTGGGGTTAATCTCAGGTCTCTGGCAATCTACGCTGTTCAGAAGGGAACGTGTACTTTTACCTCTAGGAGTTGGTGTCTAGTTGCTTTTTCCTAGTGGGAGGGAGAGAGTCTCAGCATATGGATCTAAGTATGACCCTGCCACACCCGGCCGAGAGGGCAGTCGTTAGTACCAACGAAGCCACGTTCTCTCGGCATGTGATTTCATCTCATTATATCCTATTCGATATGTTGCAGCCATGATTGGTTGGCATCTGGTGGGATAAATGGTAGGAGTGGTGAGTTAAGGTTAGAGACTTTGCTTTCAATTTGTAAGTTGACTTTACTTACAAAAAAAAAAACCCCAAAAAAGATTCATCTCTTCAGAATGAGCAGCAACACCGGCGACTACTTTTCACATCAAGTTTTTGGGGTTTTAGCGTTTTTGGATTGAAAAAATTGAAAGCAATTGTGACTAAAACTGACGTAGGACTTGTATTCTACTGCAGTCGTGGTTTTAAAAGACAAACTTTTTTGATATTAAAAAGCAAAATAAAAATTTCTTGTCCCTCATTCCAGTTGGATTCTAGTTGGAATGGTTGGGGTACTGTTTAGACAGTAAAGAACATTTACATAGAAGAAACTGCTACAAGTTTTTTTGCGTGTTTTTGTGACCCTAGCCAGTTCAGGATTAATAATTTGATGAGAGGGATTTTATGTCCAAAATAACTCGTGTGAACAGCCTAAACTTTCCCACTTACGGCTTGTAGCATTTTAAGGATATCACACTTTCACCAATACAATGTGGTGAACACTGGAATCCACCTTAATTCTGAAAATGAAGAAAATGATGGCAAAGGAGACTAGAGGCGTTTCTTGACTTAGAAGCACATTAGTATTTGTGTTGGAGACAGACCTATAAAAAGTACTTATCACTTTGTAGGCTCAGGTCTAGTAGAATTTATTGAATGACCTATATGAGCAGCAAACTGTACTAGATTGACTGTATGAGAAGACGTGTAGAAAGGGAGAAAATCTTTTTAGTTTTGCATAGAGCTTTGGATTCCAAATTTCTTCAAATCACATTGAAAGTCGTTATTTGAACACTAGCTGGAATCCTCCTGTGTAATTCACAGTGATTCATTAATTAACAAAGAAGTAGGTAAGGGACTCAAGAAGACCAACATCTCTCTCGGTATTAAGTGTAAATGTTTAGGATATGTTTGTAGGATATGAATTTGTTCATTTTTCACATCCAACTTTTTAAATGGTCATTAGTGTTACTTCAGAGTCTTAGCGTTTAATATTTTATCTGACTATCCCCAAGTCTGAAAAACAATCTACAGACGTTAAGGTAATAATACTGATCCACATTTGTGTAATGTTCTGGAGTTTTCAAATATTTTAATTTTTCTTGACCCTTAAAATAAAATAATGTTGTGAAATACAAGTAGGAATTTCTCCATTTTCTAGATGGAGGGCAAAAGAGTAAAAAACTTGCTTAAGGCCACACGAACCAGGGATGGTAGGTATTCTGATTCTCAGTTCAGTGCACCGTTTAGCAGAGTGGCAAGAAGCTAAACTAAGAGCTAAAAATTTATGACTAAGCTTATGTTTTATTTTTTTAACTTTCAGTTATGAAAAATTGCAAACACAAAGGTTTAGAGTTTAGTGAACTTATATGTTATTATCATCTAGGTTCAATAAGCTTTACCAATTTTGTTTAATCTTATTTGCCTATTTTTTTTTCTGGAGTATTTTAAAGCAAAATTCCATACATTGTTATTAAGAATTTCTTGCAAGATTTTTGTATATGCTGATTAATGCTATAACAAAAGTAGCAAGTATTTTTGTATACTGGTTTTTTTGCAGCCTGACATAAAGAACCATTTGGCGCAGACATAATGGCTAGCCTCCAAAAAGACTGTCACAAAGTTCAGCAGTAACATTTGTTGAGTGTTGATTGTATTGTGCCAAATATTAAACTAAGCTGTTTATATTCATTCGTTTATTAAACCTTAAACTTGGGAGGTATAGGTAGCATTATTAGCCTTATTTTACACCTGAGAAAATGTGAAGCTGAAAGAGATTAAGGTAACCTGTCCAGTATTGGACAACTAGTTACTAGTTGAGCCCGGATTTGAACTTAGTTTACTGGAGTGATGGTCTTGGGATATTGTCTTTAGGCTTATTTAAACTGTGAATAGCAGTAATTTGTTCACAAAAATCGAGCCCAGACTCCCTGAATCTTGTTAAAATGAAGCCTTGGCTTAAGTATGCTTGAAATGGTAGCTTAAAGAATCCATTTTTTGAGGCTTCATCTTAAGTATTTTGTTGAGCCCAGTTTTCTTTGCTTCTAGCATCACTCGTGTTCTAGGTGGTTGTTACATCTTATTTTGTAAAAGAAGATGTTAAGATGTTTAAGAATTTTCTTTAATAATAATAATAAAAGTCTCATCTATTTTATCTTTCTATATTCCTTACTGGTTAGTGAATCAGTTGGATAAAGATGCATCAGACAGTATATTATTTCTGCTTACAAGTGGAATCTAAGGAAGTGATCTTGGTTGTAATAAGGGAAGATTGAATTGGCATTTTGAATTGTGTATTTGTGTTATGGCCACATCAGGCATCTGATAGGGTATTGGAGAAAGTGCAGGATTCGGAGTGAGATCTCAGTCAAATTCTGATTCAACCGTTTACTCTCTGTGACCACAAGCAGCCTAAAAGATCAAGCACATCTCTTGGTTTCTCCCCCAAACTTGTGCTTCTTCCAGATTTCGCCAGCTCAATAAAACTTTGCTCACTATGCAGCCAGATGCTTGAACCCAAAACTTAGAATTTAGGAAGCACCCTTAATTCCCCCACTCCCCCCCCCCACATCCTCAAGTATCTATGAGCAAGTCCTCTGATTACTTCAAAATCAGATCCTGGGTTTGTCTCGTTTTTTCCATTTTTATTGCTGTCACCTTATTCAGGCAACTGTTAAATTTAACGTCAGTCTGTTAATTAATTAGTTTACCTGCTTGCTGTTCTCCCCGTGTTGTCCATCCTAAACATAGCAGCCATCTTAAAAAGTAAATCACGTGGTGCAATTCCCTAATCAAACCCTCCAGGGGCCTTCCCATTATAGTTAGAATAAAAACCAGACTCTTTACTTGGGCCTTTCCTTTCTCTTCCACCTTATGTCATACCCTCTCCTGTGATCATAGTGACTTAATCTTACTGTCTTTCTGCCCTGAATTTATTAAGTTTGTGTCTCTTACTAGAATCCCCTCCCCCCGTCTTTGCAGTGTCTTTTAGCCTAAATCTTGCCTCCTTAAAGAAGATCCAAGGGCCAGCCTAAGTAGTCTCCCTCCCCACCATGTGTTCCCTCCCTTCCAGTCGAAATACTTGTTACTGTATGATGTTTTCTCTTCTCCCCTTAAAAGAATGTAAGCTCCACGAGAGTAGGGAATTTAATGTCCCACTTAAATGCTGTATTTCCACCACTAGAGTAGTACCTGGCATGTAATAGGCACTTAGTAAATTAAACGGATTCTGAAAGCTTAGCGGTCTCTTCGTTTGAAATATGGTGTTAATATGTAAGGAGCCCTGGTGATGCAGTGGTTAAGCTCTCAAACCGAAAGATTGGTAGTTTGAACCTACAGGAGAAAGATGTGGCAATCTGCTTCTGTAAAGGTTACAGCCTTGGAAACCCTATAGAGCAGTTCTGCTCTGTCCTGTATGGTCCCTGTGAGTCCGAATGGACTTGATGGCAACAAGGTTTGGTGGTTAATATGTAGCTGATGAGATTATGAGGATTAAATGAGATGATTTTATTTAAAGTCACCTAGCACAGTTCTTGGCACATGGCTGGTATTTAGATGTTTACTATGATTTGTTGGCAGATCTCTCTTTCCTCTACTAGTTTGTTTCTGGAGGGCAGGGACCTCTTACATATAGTCCTGTCTCCCATAATACCTAGTACGGTGCTTTGTACTTTCAATTTTTTCTTTAAACTGGCTGAGTTTAAAGTCTTTGAAAATGACCGTGTCACATTTTACATACAATAATTTGAGCCCTTGTTGTGGTTATTTGAATAGAATACATACATAGATTGTAAATAGGAATATATAAGTAGTCCCCAATTTATGATGGGGTTCCATTCCAACGACTGTCAGATGTTGGTTCTGAAGCTAGTCGAATTCCCCCCCCGCCTTTTTTTTTTTTTTCATTATTACTGCCATTTATTATAAGTATTTTTATAAATCCAATCTTTATTTGTCTTTGGGGGTTGGAAACATTACATATAACTTAACAGATGTTTTTCAACATGGTATGTATTTAGTACATATTACTAATATTAGGTCATTTTAAAAAAGGATTGTAAGTGCAGTTTCTCATAACTGGGGGACTACCTGTATATCTACCAGTGTAACAGCCTATAGCCCCTCCTCCCTCAGTTTGGTATTTCTGGTGTGTATTTCCTTGGAACTTCAAGAAATCATGACTTGGAGTAAAGAGGAATTTGGCAGTTGGCTCTTCTGTGGATATATAGACATTAAAGTTAACCTGTTGTAATTGTTTTAGGGGCATGTGAGGTAAAACGAGCTTTGTACCACTTCCAGGAGTGATTCAGTAGAATTGGGCTTCTAGCTCAGAATGAAATTTCATTAACAATACACCAGTTTTAAAGGTTAGAGTCTTTTCTCTGTTCATTTAGATTTTGGTATTTTTTAAACTAAACAAGAGTACACTTTGGAATGCCTTTTGTATTTTCACCCAAGCCAACCTGGTCTTTCCTGTTTTTTCTTTTTCTTTTTTCCTATTTTTTAGTATATTTCTTTTAATTACTAGGCCCCTATTACTCCTCCCTAGCCTCAGATCTCTTAATCTCCCCAGCTATAGGGCCATGGTTTTTAGCGAACACCTTTCTTGATTCACCAGTTTAATCTTACTGTTTCTTACACATTGGCTTTCCAATCTTAATTGCGTTTTTTGTTGGATTGGTTACTTTGCAAGATTCATAGATTTTCATATTAATGTGTATTTTTATTCATTTAAGATGGCTTATAAATTTCTTGAGTGCAGGCACATATCAATCTTGTATTCTTTAATTTCTGCTCCCCTAATGTTTTTTGACCAACATAATTGAAAACCAGTGACTATTATTCACAAGGCTAATCTTGTCAGTATTGATGTTGTGTGCTGTCTGGTTGATTCTGAGTCGCGGCGACCCTGTAGGACAGAGTAGAACTGCTCCATAGGATTTCCAAGGCTGTAAGTCTTTATGGAAGCTGACTGCCACATCTTTCTGCTGCAGAGTGGCTGATGGGTTCAAACCACTGACCTTTCAGTTAGCAGCAGAGCGCTTTAACCACTGTGCCACCAAGACTCCGTCAGTATTGATATTTAGTTAATATTTTGTGGAAAATTTAAATTTATTTTTCAATAATGGTAAACTAATTTAGAAGGCATATTGGTATACAGTAAATATTTGCTTTATTTGCTGCTCGTTTATTTAAATGTCTGTACGTCACAATGCTTTAGGCACAGAGTTTCAAGTTACTGGGATAACTGTTGTATGAATTTTAAAAATCAGTTTCAGGTGATACTAAACTGCAGGAAAGGAAATACCAACAGAATAAGTAGTGAAGTGTTAAAATAAACTTTCATGTTTTAGATAAATTATAGCATTATGAATACTAACTCCAGATTATATGATAGATGTTTATATACCTAGATGACATTGTTTATCCACTTAGGAATTTTCTGATACGATCACAGGGTATCTTCTGTTTTTCAGGTGCTTACTTTGCTGAAATTAGAATTCAAGTATTTAACAAGTTAAGGTGCTATCAGTTTCACAGTACACAGCTGTAATGTGATTAAAAAAAAAAGTTTGAGTTTTTTAAGCTTTAATGGTTATATGTACTATTTTGTAAATCTGTTTCCCCTTCTGTTAAGTAATAAGTGCCTTTATTAGAGCTTATTGCAGTGCCCAATATGAAGCTTTGTGACAGTGGCTATTAATTAACAATAAATCAAACTGATTTTTTTTATCTTCGCTAGGAATTTGAATTTAGAGTTTAATATCAGAACATTGTCTCCGGAAAGAATTTGACAGTATCTCAAAGACTTCACTTGACTGCTTGATCCTGCATAATAAAGCTCAAGGTAAACAGCATTCATTTTTCTAGTTTTCAATTTTGACTTACTTGAGAAAATGTGACTACTGAAGGAATGATTCAGGGATGGGGTCTGAAACCTTGTTTTGGTGACTTTTATGAAGTAAACCACTTTTTTAATTTAAGGTTTTTTTTTTTTATTGTGCTTTAAGCGAAAGTTTACAGCTCAAGTTAGTTTCTCATACAAAAATTTATACACACATTGTTACGTGACCCTCGTTGCTCTCCCTTCAGTGTAATAGCACACTCCTCCTTTCCACACTAGATTTCCCGTGTCCATTCAGCCAGCTCCTGGTCTGCCTTCTTATCTTGCTTCGCCTCTGGACAGGAGCTGCCCATTTAGTCTCATGAATCTACTTGAGCTAAGAAGCACACTCTCTATGAGTATCATTTTATGTCTTATAGTCCAGTCTAATCTTTGTCTGAAGAGTTGGCATCTGGAATAGTTTTAGCTCTGGGCTAAAGGAGAGTCCGGGGGCTGTGTCTTCCAGGGTCCCTCCATTCTCAGTCAGACCATTAAGTCTGGTGTTTTTATGTGAATTTAAGTTCTGCACACCACTTTTTTCCTTCTCCGTCAGGGACTTTCTGTTGTGTTACCTGTCAGAGTGGTCATTTGTGGTAGCCTGGCACCACCTAGTTCTTCTGGTCTTAGGCTGATGGAGTCTCTGGTTTATGTGGCCCTTTCTGTCTCTTGGGCTAGTATTTTCCTTGTGTTTTTGGTGTTCTTCACTCTTTGCTCCAGGTGGGTTGGGACTGATGATGCTTCTTAGATGGCCACTCACTAGCTTTTAAGACCCCAGATGTCACTCACCAAAGTGGGATGCGGAACATTTTCTTAATAAACTTCGTTATACTAATTAACCTAGATGTCCGCTGAAACCATGGTCCCCAGACCCCCACCCCTGCTTCTCTGTCCCTGGAAATGTTTGGTTGTATTCAGGGAACTTCTTAGCTTTTGAGTAAACCACATTTTAAAAGTTAGTTTTAGGAAAGTATCTCATCTGCTTTTAGATCGTGAATCTTCTTTACTTCCATAAACACAGCTAGTAGAAGACTCAAAACATATACAGCTATTTAAAAATAAAAATACTGTTTAACACATTTTCCGTAATCCAAACAGGAAGAGTTCCATGACTTTTTTTCCTTACGTTGATACTAAGGTAATTAAAATTTATTCTTTACTATGTATCAAACATTGTATTAAATGTACTACCTGTATTAATTCATTTAGTTTTTTCAAAAATTATTTGAAGAAGGTATGGTCATTTTCTTCTTACAGATGAGGAAACTAACGAAGAGGTTAAGGAAGTTGCCCAAGGTCACACAACTAAGGAAGTGTATCTGAGCCTGGATTTGAATCCAGATAGTCCAGCTGCAGAGACTGCATTCTTAGCTGCCTTTAGCCAAGTATATTTTTGCAAGAGGGCAGAAAAAAAAATTAATCCAAATCTTTTTTGGACTGATAACTATTTGATAGCTATGCTTTCTTAACACTCACTTTGAAATCTCAGGTGTGTCTATTAATAAAGAAAATCGAAAAACCACAAACCTTTAAAATTACGCTTGCTGCTTTAAAAAAATACCTAGGTTCTGGGGAATTCATTCATTCAATGGTATTTATTAAATACCTGTTCTGCCTATGTAATACAAGCTGTGCTGCATCCTAGGATATATCAGTGAACAAAAAACATAAAAGGCATTGTCTTTACCTTTACCAAGTTTCAGATGACTGAATAGTCCATAGTTAATGGTGCCATGTGTAATACTAATCAGATAATGCCTCAAAAAGTAGCTGGCTGGTACAATCCTTAAGTTTATTTTCCTAACCCAAGGATCTGTTAATGTTCGTTTTTCATTCCACCCCAACCAAGGTGTCCTGGATTGGAAAACCTAGAAAATACCTGAATCACCTACCGGAAGTTACTTCAAAAAGATTAAGAGCAAAGATAACAACAGATATTCTAGAGATACATGCATAGTACAGCACCTCTGACTCTTAATAACTTAGAATTATTTCTTTCATTTACTGAAGTTACTTTAAGTGAAGATAGGTTTTATGTTTTGCTAATATTACTAAAATCATTTGCAGCCCTGGATTTTTATTTCACATAGTACGTCCACTTATCTCAGAGTAGGAAAAAATAAAATTATTGATATAAAGTTTGTTTTTAGGTGCTGTTGAGTCAATTCTGACTCAGTGATCCCATGCACAACAAAACGAAACACTGCCCTGTACTGCCCCCGTCCTGCTCCATGCTCACAGTCGTTGCTGCGTTTGAACCCATTGTTGCAGCCACTGTGTCAGTCCATTTCGTTGAGGGTCGTCGTCTTTTTTGCTGGCCCTCTGCTTTACCAAGAAAGATGTCCCTTTCCAGTGTCTGGTCCTTCTCATAACATATCCAAAGTATGTGAGATGAAGTCTCTCCGTCCTCGTGTCTAAGGAGCATTATGGCTGTCTTCTTCCAAGTCAGATTTGTCCTTTCTTCTGGCAGTCCATGGTATATTCAGTATTCTTCACCAACACCATAATTCAGAGGCATCAGTTCTTCTTCAGTCTTCCTTACTCATTGTCTAACTTTTGTATGAATGCGAGGTGATTGTAAGTACCGTGACTTGGGTTAGGTGCATGTTAGTTCTCATGCTTTTTAACACTTTAAAACGTCTTTTGCAGCAGATTGGCCCAGTGTAATATGTCATTTGATTTATTGACAGCTGCTTCCGTGAGTCTTGACTGGATCCAAATAAAATGAAATCCTTGACAACTTCAGTTTTTTCTCTGTTTATCATGATGTTGCTTACTGGTCCAGTTGTGAAGATTTTTGTTTTTTTATGTTGAGGTGTAACTCATACTGAAGGTTGTAGTATTTGATCTTCATAAGTAAGTGCTTCAAGTCCTCCTCGCTTTCAGCAAGCTAGGTTGTGTCATGTTTGTATTGCAGGTTGTTAATTAGTCTCCAGTCCTGACGTCGTGTTCTTCATATAGTCCAGAATAGGGGCAGTTCTCCTCTGTCCTTCAGGGTTGCTATAGGTTGGAATCAACTTGATGGCAATGGGTTTGTTTTTTTGGGGGGGAAGGGAAATGTAAATTATATATGTACTATAAAAATTGTGGGAGGGTCAGTATTTTGAAATCAAATAGCAGTAAAATGTCACAATTCTCAGTGGTCCAGAGTACACGTATGTTACAGACTGAAAATATGACTTTTACCAATTTCATTATATTGTCAAAATAAAACTACAGAGTTTGCTACGCCAAATTTGTCTTGTGTTCTACCAGGTCTTTCTGTGCTAAATGCTAAATTTACTTCGTATTTGTTGCAGATCTTTTCCACAATTTGAACCCTGAAGCTATATTTTACTCTGTCTTTTTGTATTTCTTGCTTACTTGGGATTGAGAAGAAAAGTAAGACTAGAAGACAAAGGTGGTAGTCTGTGTATTAGAGGATAGTTACGTTTTATTTTGAAGTACATATGTATCGGAAACTTTTTGAATTGTCATTTATGTTCTCTGAGAAGAATTGTCATTTATGTTCTCTGAGAAGAAAGTATGCACACATTACTGTTTCTCCCGTAAGTCGGTGCCTCCAAATGCTATTTCACAGTACTGTGCAAAGTCTAGGCAGGTAAAATAAGTGCCTTCAAAAATACTTGGTTGTGGAAAAAATGGTTTAAATATATGGGAATTACAGACTGTTTGAATTTCAGTAAATTGAGTTTTAGAGCAACTTTAACTTTGAGTAATAAAGTTAGTACAGCTTCAGAAATAGTTATATGTAGCAGAAATAAACTTGGGAAGCTAAGACTGTCTAGTCATAGGAATCATTAGAAAGAGTTGAAAATAAGACATTTGGAGTGTATGTGCAATGGTTTTATATATATATGTACATATATATGTATGCATGTAATTTTGTAAAAAGATCTTAAAAATTAATTGTTCTTGACTGTTACTGATTTCTTTATCCAGTGAGGTCTACCTGTGGCATTAGATACTAAGTAGTGTTTAGAAAAGTTAAGACACTGATGCTCAAGTTTTGTTTTACCTGTAGTTCTAACATCTCTCTTGCAGTAATCTTCTCAATTTCTTTTATCTTTTATTCCTCTTATCTTACCAGAAAGACACAGGGTGAGCTAGGCATTGTCACATGAGTCCATTTTTTTATTCTACTGTCATGACTACTGAGAGCAGAGCCATGTTCCTGTATAAGAGAGCATTGAGCTCCAGCTGTTTAGAGACTTAGTGGCCTTTATTCTACTAGGAGACTATTTGGCACCACTCCAGGCTGTATTGTATATGTGGTATAGTCAATTTAGTCCCATTTCAAGGCGATAAAGCACTTATGATGACAGTCTGGTAGGTTTATTTTTCTTTAGTATTATGCCATTGTATTTTCTCTCTTTCAAGTTCTTTATCTGTAATACTCTGATATTGTTTGTCTGTTTTACAGGAGAGGTAGGTATTTGTATTGGGCATGGAATAGCATCTAACATGCTGCAGTCTGGTATCGCTCTTTCTGGCTTCTGCAGCTACTGCCTTTTTGGATTGAGGCACATAGGTGGGGCAGTGCGTAGAAATCTTCTGTTGTGCTGTGTTTTCAATATACACTATTTGTCACGCAGGTGAAAATACAGTTTTAGTTAGGTATAATTGTCTTCTAAATACTTATTTGGAAGTAATGAGAATGATGAACAATCTCTTTTGAGAAAGTTAGTGTTTTTAAAATTTAATTTGTATTTGAAAATAAGTTAGATAATGTGAAACTTTTTCAATCCTATTGCGATTTTAACCTTTTTTGCTGTTTCATTTGACTAGGAGAAAAGAAATGGGTCGCTCCAATTCTAGATCACATTCTTCAAGATCAAAGTCTAGATCACAGTCTACTTCTCGATCACGATCAAGATCACACTCTAGAAAGAAGAGATACAGGTGAATGAATGTGCTTTTAATTCTTTTAATAATGATAATCATACCGGTTAATACTAACTGTATGCCTGCTATATTCAGACACAGTGGCAACCCCATTAGTATTTTATTCTCAAAGCACCCTGTGGTATGGATCTGTTGTTATCCTTATTTTAGAGTTAGAGAAATTGAGAATTGCCCAAGTGGTAAGCTAGTAAATGGCAGAGCGTGGATTTGAATCCGGTTAGTCTGACTCCAGGTCTCAGATTCGCACTATACTGTGCTAATACATGGTGAATCTTTTTTGCATTTATCCATAAGATTAAGAGACGAATTGTATGACATGCCAATTATTTGGCAGCAGTAAACAATACCTGTGTATTTTTTCATTCTTTTTTTTTTACTCTGGGGTCTCAATTTTGTTTTTTGTTTCTTTGTTTTAAGATGACTAACTCAGGTTGTTATTCTTCAAATACTAATAAGTGCATATTTAACATAGTGCCTGCGTAGATGTAGTATAATTTGATAATATATCCTATTAGATATTTTGAATTTTTTCTCTTATTTTTTTGTGCCTTCATTTCTAAGGCCTTTACTGTCCAATATTTACTTTTGAAGTAAGCTTTTTTTCATTGGAAATGATAACTTTCTTTCATGTGAATGAGGATTTTGTTAATGTACACTTTTAGCTTTGACAGTTTATTTACATGTTATACTCAACTAGAAGCATTTAGAATGGTAGAGTGAAGTTTATTTTTCTTGCATTGATATTTATTTCATTTTTAGTTCTAGGTCCCGTTCCAGAACATATTCAAGATCTCGTAGTAGAGATCGTATTTATTCTAGAGATTATCGTCGAGATTACAGAAATAATAGAGGAATGAGAAGACCTTATGGGTACAGAGGAAGGGGTAGAGGGTATTATCAAGGAGGTGGAGGTAGATATCATCGAGGTGGCTATAGACCTGTCTGGAATAGAAGACACTCTAGGAGTCCTAGACGAGGTCGGTCACGTTCTAGAAGTCCAAAAAGAAGATCTGTTTCTTCTCAGAGATCCCGAAGCAGATCTCGCCGGTCATATAGATCCTCTAGGTCTCCAAGATCTTCCTCTTCTCGTTCTTCATCCCCGTATAGCAAATCACCTGTCTCTAAAAGACGAGGGTCTCAGGAAAAACAAACCAAAAAAGCTGAAGGGGAACCCCAAGAAGAGAGTCCTTTGAAAAGTAAATCACAGGAAGAACCGAAAGATACATTTGAGCATGACCCATCTGAATCTATTGATGAATTTAATAAGTCAGCCACATCTGGTGATATTTGGCCTGGCCTTTCAGCTTATGACAATAGTCCCAGATCACCCCATAGTCCTTCACCTATTGCTACACCACCTAGTCAGAGTTCATCTTGCTCTGATGCCCCCATGCTCAGTACGGTCCACTCTGCAAAAAACACCCCCTCTCAGCATTCACATTCCATTCAGCATAGTCCTGAAAGATCTGGGTCTGGTTCTGTTGGAAATGGGTCTAGCAGATACAGTCCTTCTCAGAATAGTCCAATTCATCACATCCCTTCACGAAGAAGTCCTGCAAAGACAATCACACCGCAGAATGCGCCAAGAGATGAGGCTAGGGGACGTTCCTCGTTTTATCCTGATGGTGGAGATCAGGAAACAGCAAAGACTGGAAAGTTCTTAAAAAGGTAAGAACTAAACTAGGAAGTTTAGACTATAATAATATTTTGTTCTTTGAATTCCATTTTAATAAGACTGTACATTTCGTTGTGATAGGCATTTAGTTAGTGGTTTTTGCTCATGACTCCCTTTTTTATAGAATAATTCCAGATTTTTTTTTTAAAGTGTTAGAGCATTGAAAGCTTGTTTTCTCATCACCTCTAGAATGTGACCTACGTAAATTATGCATTTACATTACACATTCTTATTTGTGTGGTATTGCAAATAGTCCAGATGTCAGTTTTTGATAAATTCTCCCTGACTATAGAAAAGACGTTATTTCTCACCTGACTCTAATTTTAAACAGATATTTTAAGTTCTGATTTCAAGTGTTGATTAGAGTCGCTGAAAAACTTAATGATAATTTGTTGTTAATGTAGTGTGATTAACTTAGAAGTGAGGAAACAGAGCAAGCTTGCTATTGATATAATACTGTACAACCTAGAATTTTCTTATCATTGAACTAATACTTAGTTTTTACTTAATATTATCACTGTTTTCTAGAACAAAAGATTATGAACTATTTTGTGATTCAGATAAAGCATATTAAATACCTAATATTCATTGGATTGAAGTTCTCTTTTGCGAACTCTTGTGTATATTACTAAATAAGCAATGAAATAGTCTGAAATTTTGAGCAAATTATAAGAAAAATTCTAATAATATATATTTTCTATTACTGGTTCTTAGCCTCAGAAATTAAACTTAGGCTGTGTTGTAGGTTGTAGAGCCCCTGTAGAAATTTGGATTTGTTAGTGCAGAATTGTGGTCTGTGACTAAAAACAGAAGTTCTTGAGGATGGCTTTACTTTTTAAATTTTAGGAGGCCTAATACATAAATTTACTTTTAAAGTCAGTACGAAGTGCCACCTGTGCGCTTTTAGTGATTTTTAAAAGTATGATCTGAAAAAGCATTTTTCAGTAGGATTTTTTTTTTTTTTTATTATTACTGGTCCTGGAATGTTGGACAGCAAATTTAAGTATGCAGATCATCTACAATGAATGCAATCCAGAGTTACCATCCTCTTCTTTGCTTATTATTCACAGGTTCACAGATGAAGAGTCTAGAGTATTCCTGCTTGATAGGGGTAATACCAGGGATAAAGAGGCTCCAAAGGAGAAAGGATCAGAAAAAGGGAGGGCAGAGGGAGAATGGGAAGATCAGGAAGCTCTAGATTACTTCAGTGATAAAGACTCTGGAAAACAAAAATTTAATGACTCAGAAGGGGATGACACAGAGGAGACAGAGGATTATAGACAGTTCAGGAAGTCAGTCCTTGCAGATCAGGGTAAAAATTTTGCTACTACATCTCACCGGAATGCTGAGGAGGAAGGACCCAAGTACAAGTCTAAAGTTTCACTGAAAGGCAATAGAGAAAGTGATGGATTTAGAGAAGAAAAAAATTATAAACTTAAAGAGACTGGATACGTAGTGGAAAGGCCTAGCACTACAAAAGATAAGCACAAGGAAGACGACAAAAATTCTGAGAGAATAACAGTAAAGAAAGAAACTCAGTCACCTGAGCAGGTAAAGTCTGAAAAGCTCAAAGACCTCTTTGATTACAGTCCCCCTCTACACAAGAATCTGGATGCACGAGAAAAGTCTACCTTCAGAGAGGAGAGCCCACTTAGGATCAAAATGATAGCCAGCGATTCTCATCGTCCTGAAGTCAAACTCAAAATGGCACCTGTTCCTCTTGATGATTCTAACAGGTAATTCCACATTGATATTCAGTAAATAATTTGTGGGTGGTTAGTTAATATCCTAGTTATTTTATTTTTTGAATATACTTAACCATTTTCATATTCAAACCAATGGTATATTTTGTTTGTTATTGATACGCTCCAGGCCTGCTTCCTTGACTAAAGACAGGCTACTTGCTAGTACACTTGTCCATTCTGTCAAGAAAGAGCAAGAATTCCGATCCATCTTTGACCACATAAAGTTGCCACAGGCCAGCAAAAGCACTTCAGAGTCGTTTATTCAACACATTGTGTCTTTGGTTCATCATGTTAAAGGTATGTTTACTATGGTCAATTAAATTTCTCCTGAAAATTAAAGACAAAAATAGTAGTTGTGTTAATAATGTACCCCAGACGTAGCAGGTATATAAGCAAGACCAGTAAAAGTTTGAAAAGATACAATTCCATGAAAGAGTTACCAGTCATGACTTAGCATTGAGATGCGTGAAGATATTTAATAAAAGGTGGATGAAATGCTAACTAGGGTTAAAACATTCCCTAAAAATCTACATCATAATAAAACGTGATGTAGATTTGTTTAATGCTAAAAGTCTTTTTGAAGTATGTCATTATTAGCTGTGCCTGATTTATTTCAAGTACAGAACGCTTGTAGATTGTTTTTTATTGCGTGCCAGTGACTTATGACGGTGTACCCTTGGCATAGATTTAAAATAAAATGAGCTAGTTTGTTACTGAATATTATATACTAAGAATTTATTTTCAACTTTTAAAGAAACCCGAAACTAATGGAAAAACAGTGTTAATCTTGCAGCTTGTTTTTGTGCTGCTTGATTTGTTATAATACTTACCTTTTTTTTTTTTTTAACGATGATAAATAAGCCAGAAAAAAACTTGTCAGTAGTTTTAAAGGGTGGGGAAGGTTTAAGAAATTAATAAGTATATTATATAGTGATGAAATGACCAGTGACTGATAAGGCTATGATTTAACTTTCAATTGTGGTTATTGATGACATTTCCTCAGATCCTGAAGATAATAAGGATGTTCATTTGAACTATAGTAATTATTTTCTGTTTTCACCAATGTGTAATTCTAGTTTCAGAGTTAAACTAATAATTTTCAAAGATTTTTAAGGCATGACATTTTGGGCAATTAGGTCAAATTTTTTGTTTTTGTTTGCTTTTGTGTTTAAAAGACAGTATACTATGAAATAGGTTCTTTTCCAGGAATCTCCGTGGCTGTTGGTCTTAGAAACCATGTTTTTTTTTTAAAGTTTCTCTTTTGACATAAAATAATTCTTTATAATAGCTGAAAGATGTCACTAGCAATTCTTTATGCACTTGATATTTCCAGTACAGTGAGTAGATAATGGATTTCTTTTTGACTCTAATTAAACGTGGTAACGTAAGAGAATTTTGTTATTTGACTAGTAACTAGGTTTGAGAACCTGTTTGTGACCATATTACTGTGGTACATGAAATAGAAACATTAACATTTTTTCTTTTTTCCCCTTTTTTGACCTGTTTCCACATTTTAACAATTTATTGCTGAATTTTGAGATCACATTTTGATAAAGTTTTTCCTTTTTCTTTTTTCCTTTTTTAAAAGAACTGTAGTTATGTTTCATTATTGGTATTGTGCAACCGATCTGAACAGCTCTTACTTTATATAGAGCTGAAAATGCCCAGTGATGTTTTCTTTTTCATTGTAACTAGGTCCTGGAATATGTTTTGAAATGGCAAAATCCATGTTTCAAAGTAAAATAGCTGTTGAAAGATACAGGCAAAGTTGAATCTTCTGTCTTCCTGGCAAAAATGGCATAAAAACTGAGTTGCTAGCTCAAATTCCTGGGTTTCATGGAATTATGATTGAGGCACTACCCTTGTAGTGGCCATTTCAAGTTTTAATGATTGGTTATGAGACATGTGCTGGATATTGGGCGGTAAGTTTTACACGGATGTATGTTGACCTGTTAAGCAGATAGCTTGCTTCATAATGTAACATTTCATAGTTCACGACTTTATATGTCTCTGTATTTTACATTTACAGCATATCTTCTTAAACTGGTTTAAAAACTAATCAGTATTGATTATTACTAATTTTAAAATTGCTTAAAGAAAGGCAAGACAACGATATCAAATGTGCTGTCAGGTTTGCCAAGAGGCCAGATCTTTTGGAATAATTATGAATGTTAATTGATTTTAAAGTAATATTTTTCCATTTGAAATGGTACTATTCATTTTTTTTCTTAAATCCATTTTCTGTTGATATCAACATAGTTCTTAAAGATTTATAGTTATGTCAGTATATTTTGTTTTCTGCAAATGATTATTTGAAGTAACTTCATTGGTTCATGTTAGCAAGGCATAAGGACATCCATGTATTATTGTTCCTTTTTGTTTTGATTGAGAAAGTGTAGTGCGTTAGTGAAATGGAATACAGACTCTTCGTTTAATCTGTTGTGCTTGGATTATATGTGGTCTTGACGGGCCTGTGAGGAACTTTGCAGTGGTGCTCTGTTAGTATTACTACCCGTTGAAGTACAAGAAGTTGAAAAGGGTAGGATTTCTTTGTAACACTGGATTCTCTTCTACTAGGTTTCTTGAGTGTTTTTATTTTCACTGGCTACATGCCCTTCTGTCACAATCTCTTTCAAAGTAAAAATAACTAATCGGTTAGTATTTCTCCCAAATCAACAGAGCAGTACTTCAAATCAGCTGCCATGACCCTAAACGAGAGGTTCACTTCGTATCAGAAAGCCACTGAAGAACATAGTACCCGGCAAAAGAGCCCTGAGATACACAGGTATGTGTACTATATAAAAATGTTTTAATAGGAAGACTCTGTTTAAGCAAGATTACGTTGGAAGTAAGCTGTCAATTCATGCTAAGAGTGAACTTCGGTTTTATTCCTGATTTATACCTTGAATAGATATTTCTGACTTGAAAATTTTGTACTTTACTGTTTCTTCTTAATTTTCAGGTAACTTGGTTTAAACTGGTTATTAGAACTTCAAATATTGACTCTTGTCATTCCACAGTATGGAATTAAAGTTATTTTATTTTGGGTTGCGGGGGCATGAGGGGTAGATGCCTAGAGTTAGGCTTGAATTTGCTTCCAGAAGATTTGTTTGTAAAATAAAAATGTTTAGTGAGAGGAACATAAATGTTAAAGTCAGACAATTATATTCAAATCCTGGCTTTGTCATTCATTGCCATGTGATGACCAAGTTATTTAATCTCTGAATATCTGCTTTTCCATCTACAAAGTTAGAATAATAATGCCCACCTTGCAGGGTGGTTGTGACACCTAGTAATATTGTTTATAAAGTATCTAACTCAGTGCTCACTACGTAATAGGTGCGATTTTGGTGATGACTGTTGAAGAGGCACTGGAAAGTTGCACCTGATAAACAGGAAAGTGCATTGAATATGTAAAAATACTGAAGATTACTTAAGAGCAAATAATCCAGTGCATAAGTGCTTATTGAGGATATTGATGTATTATAATTGCATGATGATTGACACTTAAGATGATAATCAAAACATGAACATATTTTTGCATTTTAGACTATTAAAATAAGTTTTGATGTTTTCAAAGAACACGGTTTCATTTGTAGATGTAAATAAATTATCTGGTTGAAACACTTTAATTTATTCTTAGTGTATTTTGTTTTTCTCAATTGATTATCAGGAATTAGGTTAATAATCTTACTATGCTAGATTAGTCTATTGAGAGAGAAATTAACTGCCTAGTATCTCTTTAACAAAAATAGTTAATACTGAAGATTTTTTGGAACCATCAGGTTAATGTGACCACAGATACACTTTATTTTACATTAAGGAGAATTGACATCTCTCCAAGTGCCCTGAGGAAGCACACCCGTTTAGCAGGAGAAGAGAGAGTTTTTAAAGAAGAAAATCAAAAGGTATGTTTTTGAATACACTTTTTTCTCCATGTTAAGTTCTTAGTTAATGATACTGTACTGAATATAGTTTGACTGTTCAAACTCTCCACAGATACCTTCTGTTTTTAACGTATGTATGTGTATCAGTGTATAGTCAGAATTCCTTCCTAGAAGAAACTAACACTTGACTAATTATCTAAGTTAAGCCAAGAGTACTTTTTGAAAATGCTAGAGAAAGGAAGAAATGAGTCCTAAGGAGAGGGTAAAGAATCAATTGGTAGATAAAGGTAAATGATAAAAGCAAGGATAGAAATTATATTGGGGTTTCTATAAAGTTTCGAGGTGAAATGGGACAAGCCAGAGTAAATATTCGTTGATTGATGTGTGCCTAAATTAGTATGTCTAGGTTTTTCACAGAGAACAAGAAGTAATCTCCATGGTACCAGGCATTTTTTGCTTTGACTGAGAAAGAAGCATTTTAAGAACTAATTTACAAATGAACATTTGGAACAAAACCTTTTTGTCTCTTTTGGAATATATGTGGATTGGGGGAAGAAGCCTATGAAAGACTGGGAGAAGGGGGCTCAGTGAGAATGGAATTCAGTGGTGTGAAGGGGTGTGTGATATATACTCTCTTAATTTTAAATAGAGATTTTCTTGGTGGACTAGTCTATGACAGGTCATGGAGTCCAGTAGTAGATTTTGTAGGGAAAGGTAGAAAGGGAGCAACATTAAAAAAGATTAGAGGACTTGGAAGGACTGCTTGGTTCCTGTTCCAGCTGTCACTAAGTACTCTATTTGATATTGGGAAAACAGCATTTTGGATCTTGGTTTTCTAATCAGAAAAATGAGAATAAAAACATCTGTTTTGCAGAGGTGTTAAGTAATTTGACTGTTACGTAAAACACTTGCCATTTTTATCACTGAAAGCTAATATTAACAGTAGTAGTGTACAAGTTTAATAGGGCATACTATTAACTTATTAGACATGGAAGCTTACGAAGAAACTAGTTTCTTTGCATGGACATATTGATCTTGGAGAAACATTCTGAGAATTGAATACTTTTTTTTGGCTTTTACTTTAAATACTTTGGGTTGAATGATAATTAATTTTGTTTTCCCAACAATTCAGTCTGTCCTTGTGCTCTGACACTGAGTTTATTGCTCCTCTCGTTATTCAGACCAGATTTTGATCTGGAGGAGAGAGGATAGTGGTAACTGATAGATGGACAAGAGGATATGACTTTGCTTTTTATACTTGATCTTTCTGTCTGAACGAATAACATGTTAATATGTAATTAATGTATTTATAATTTGTCGTTTACAAAGCACTTTCACTTATACTATCTTGTTATTAGTGGGCTTGTAATACTTGGTGAATAGGAAGTTTTTTGTTCTTGATTAGATTTTTTTCTTGGTTATTCTGGGAGCAAATAGATGAGTAGTTGATATTGTTTGAATATATATACTTTCAGTTTTATGGGTGCTTATGAATATTACAGCTACACTTCCCAGAGTAAATGCTTCTTATTGTTGAATAGTAGCAAGGATGTCCACGTTGCTTAGCATCTTACTGATGTATAATTTCTCTTCATTCCTAGATGCCTCTTTCCATCTTCCTAAATTATATAGTATTTGAAAAAGCAATGGAACAAGAAGGAGGTGAATTGTGACCCAGTTAAACTAATGTCCGTTGCAATACCTGACTTGAGAAAGGGCAGTATATGGCCCAAGATACTGAGTACAGGATTGGGAATAATATCTTTCTGGCTTTGTTTCTACCCCTGTTCAACCTCAATTGGTTTCATTAATTATATTCCACTTGCATGTTACGGAAATCATAGAATACTTAACTTTTGAAGTCTCTTTTATTGGGTTGGTCAACTTAATTTGGAAAGAGATCAATGATAATGAGGCTTAAGTAATGAGAACCATTATTTTAGGGCCCTTTAACTTTATAGGTAGAAAGGCTACATCTGAACTGCAGACTATAACCTTTATCATTGTCCAGCTATTTAAAATTTAAAAAAGGAAGCCGTTTGGAAGGAGGAGGGATTATGATTAACGAAGATATGTTGACTTGAAACTTGTATTGTTTTTCTGTAAAAAATTTATTGTGGATTATTTTGAATAAAAATCTATAAAATTCTCAATGTAATTAGCCTATAACAATTTTCCCAGTCTTACTACACTTGTATACACAGATGTTTAGTAAAAACACATCAAGTACATTTTTTAATAAAAACTATAGAAATAGTATATCGTGATCCATTCTTTCCTGATACTAAAATACCAGTTTAGAAACTGGCATAAAATTTGACTATATATATATTTTCTATTTCTCCCCTAAAATCTGTATTTTACATCTGTCTTTTATAGGGAGATAAAAAACTAAGGTGTGATTCTGCTGATCTTCGGCATGACATTGATCGTCGTAGAAAAGAAAGAAGTAAAGAACGAGGGGATTCCAAGGGCTCCAGGGAATCCAGTGGATCAAGAAAGCAGGAGAAAACTCCAAAAGATTACAAGGAATACAAATCTTACAAAGATGACAGGTAATTGTTAAAACTGTCTGAGTTAGGTTTTAGCTTCTAATTAGCCTTTAATAATTGTCAGCTTAATTGCTTTCAATTTTGACTGTGTAATCGAATGTTTAAATTTAAACAATTAAAATTATTTGTTTTACAGCAAAAATGTATTTGTCTTTTACACGGCTAATGGTGGATGAGGACAAAAACTTTGGAATAGCAAGCTAACACTGAAAAAAAAAATGACAAATTAATGTGTCCTATTATCCAGGCTACATCAGGAGGTTGGACTTCAATGCAGTGCATTTCTAGAAACAGTTTGTGTAAGAACTTTGGTTCGTTATGCTTGATTCCGCACTTTTTCAACTCATAACACCCAGAGTACAAGAATTTTAAACATATCTAGTGGTTTAACATGGGACAGATGGGGGGAGGAAGGATTAGTTTTATCAAATAGCAATGTGTACTAGTCTTTCAAAGTAATGTTTCCATGGATACTGTTAGCAGTGGTAAGAGTTACTGCAGGTATGACCTTTTCGGGTGTTATATTAGAATCTTGTAAATTTTGATCATCATAGAGCCAAATAATAGGAATATGAAGTATTATTATAGATAATTGCTCTTCTTGCTATTCATTAGGTAAATGGTGGATTTTACTTGTTGTTTATTTATGACTGGTATTTATAACATAATATGCTTTTTATTTCTATAACGGTGTTATGGCCAGACCATACCAGCTGTTCTCACCCAGGGTGTACAAACTGCAGTCATTTTGAACTTGGCCTTGAGAACATTCTTATTTTCCTGTGCTTCTTCCCCTTTCCTTAAAATAACGAAAAATTAAATAAAAAGGTAGCTTAAAAATATTGAAGAACTGAACCTTATTCTTACAGTTTTACAGGCTGCTGGTTTCTAACTGGCAGGCCATAGCATGTATTTCAGTAGTGATGCAAAACAAATATTGAAGAATGGAAACAGACTGTGTCAAAGTTTTTTAACACCCAGTTATTTTACTTAACGAAATAATTTTATAATAGGGGATAGTTTTTTTTACTTGAAAAATATCCCTTTTGTTATAAGATTCAACAGGGTCTTTATGTTTTTGAAAATATCACATTTTTTTATTTTCTTTATTTATTTTGCAGTAAACATAAAAGTAGAGAGCAAGATCATTCTCGATCTTCATCCTCTTCAGCATCACCTTCTTCTCCCAGTTCTCGAGAAGAAAAGGAGAGTAAGAAAGAAAGAGAAGAAGAATTTAAAACTCACCATGAGCTGAAAGAATACTCAGGCTTTGCAGGAGTTAGCCGACCGAGAGGAACCTTTGTAAGTACTGAAATCATCTTTGGTCACTTGACAAAACTTTACCTTATGCTGTTGTACACAAGGAAAGTTGAATATTGATTTAGAGTTTTGTTATATGAGTCATTACTCTTAAAGTCAGTATTAATCTTGAAAAACGAAATGGTATTTGACGTATCATCTTCATTAATAAATGCCATTTTTAGATCTGGAGTCATCTGTATAAACCAGATACTTTTCTTGACTTTGGGATTAACGATTGTACGTTATTCTTAAGAGCCTTCACTTTGAATAGTCAAGGAAAGATGTTTTCAATGGACTGAAATCGATTTCTTTAATCACTTAGTTTTTGAAAAGATCTTAAAAAGAAAATCTGTGTTACAGCCTCTGCATTATAACTATTTTCATTTTTGCTTATTTCATTTCTTCAAGTCCTTGTTTACATATGAGTATCAATCATAGAGTTCATATAAGTATTTCCTTTTTATTTTACATAGCATACACACTATCCCCATGTTTGTATAAAGTTTTTATGATTATGAACTTGGAATGACTTCATAATTTTGGATCTTCTTGCCTCTTTAATTTCTTCATTCAGATTCCTACCTTGAGCGAGTATCCAGTTGGGGATTGGTAGGGTCCGTTAATCAGATCATTTGGGAAAGAGTAGATCTTTGCCTTTAGGGTGACAGTTGTGGTCGAACACTTGGGGCTCCTATGGTAATTCAAGGGAATTAGACAACTCTTGGCTAGTAAAAGGGAAAAAATATCAACCTGATTATTTTAAAATGCTAGTAGGCCATGAAAGTGCAGTATTCTAAAATTTAGGTTGAGTGCATTTCTTAACTTACTCAACTTTCAGTAGGCAGAAATTTTTTTGCCTATGGTATAAAGTGGCCATCATTCACCATCCTCAGTGGCTATGAGATTAATTTAGGAAGGAAAGTAGGGAATATGTTTTTTGTTACTGCAGTAAAATTATAGTTTGCATGTAACTAAATACTTTTTGATTGCATTACTAAACAACTTTGTTAATGTTAATCAGTTTCGAATTAGAGGCAGAGGAAGAGCCAGAGGAGTTTTTGCTGGGACAAATACTGGTCCAAACAACTCAAATACTACTTTTCAAAAGAGACCGAAGGAAGAGGAATGGGATCCAGAATATACCCCAAAGAGCAAGAAGTACTTCTTGGTGGGTGTTAGAAATCTGTGTTTATTTGGTTTGCATTAATTTTCAAAGCATACTGGGTGATACATTTGAGTACAGATATCCACCACTATGAGAAGATTTTACCATAATGTGGGAAACCTTTTTTAAAATTCATTACCCAGATGATTTGTAGTTTTGAAAGTGTGGGTCCCTTTAGCCCCGTTTTTATTTTGACATCACATATAGGCTAATCAGGATAAGCTAGAAGTACACCTGATTTGATAGCCTTATTCAGAAAAGATTATATTGTAGTTGTGGTATATATATGTTTTATATCTGTCTATAAGACAGTGACAGTAGTGGAAACTTAAACATTGACATTTCATCATCACGGCTATTTGTTTAAATAAATGAACAACGGAAAAATTCTTTCACAGTACTGGTAATTAAGGATCTCAGGGAGGCTGGCAGCTTTCATTGGAGTAAAAGGAAGATGAAAAATTATTTTATGGAAAAGATGCTAGGTATACTGACTTCATGCTTGCTTGTGGTGGAGATACTTCTGAAGAAGTTTTCCAAGGGATGAAACTAGAGGTGATGGGTCCTGAAGGATTCTCTAGGCAAGGATGAAAATTTTTTGCAGTGTGGCATGGGGGAAAAGAGAGATTAAGAAAATCCAAAACCATTACCGGAAGCATTCGTTTTTGTCCTAGTTTTTCAGGGAAGTCATGTTTCAGAGAGATTGTTATGTGCATGCAAGGAGGAAAATACTACTGGATTTACAGAACTGTGTCTTGTATTCAGCTTTTTATGAATATATTTGAGTAAACCTGAATGTCTGTGGCATATGTGCTGAGTTAGAGGGAAGTGCTATATTCTGCAGTGGATCTCTGTGTTGTTTGGAAAGTGGGTGATATACTTGTCTTAGAAATTAATTTCTAGTTATCTCTTTTTTGTGCTTTAATAACCAAGAAGTCTGAAAAAAGTTAAAATTTCTTACAGAGTGTGTTATGAATAGTGTTCGCTCAGTATGTGTTTCTCTTGGAGATATTTACACTTGTTTGAGTCATTTGGGTTGACAACATGGAAAGAAAAAGGACTGGTACCTTTGACTGTTACAGAATAAAGGTTTAAAAGTTTTATCTGCTTTGACTAGAAGAATTTAGTACAAAACTATTCTTTATGCTAGGTCTTAAAGTTCTAAAGATGGAAAGACAAATACGATATGATTCCAAATTCTCAACTTACAGAGTAGTATGGGGAAAAACGTTCTAAATACATATGATGGCTTTTCAGAGGAGGAAAGGAGATTGTTGGAAAGGTGAGTGATGAGGAAAGGTTTCATAGAGGCAATTGGCTTGAATTTTGAGCTTAAAATATGGCCAAGCGTATCCGAGTGAAACAGGCTGGCATAGAGGACTTTGATACTTAGATAGCTAGATGATTGGAATAAATGTAGGAAAATTAAGCAAAGGCTAAAAAGTTATGCAGGAACCAGATTGTGAAAGGCCGTAATAAATTTGGATTTTAAATAGGGTTTAGAAAAAGCATGACTCTGAAAACAGAAGATTTGAGAGAGGGTGAGTACCTGAACTAAGGTGCTGGATTTGAGAAAGTTAAGAAAGTAGCATTTATGAGTATTTACTGAGAGACCAACTAGTTGGGAGTGAGAGCAAGGTATTTAAAATAGGGAATACAGAGGAGGAGGTCCGTTTGAGGATATTAAATTCTATTCTGGAGAGGTTGAATTTGAAGTACCTGGGGGAAATCAAGTGGAGATGTCTAATGGATAGTTGCTAATGTAGATCTAGAGACAAAACATCTAGGAGCCAATCGTCTTATAGGTCACAGTTGAAACCATGATAAAATCACCTAGTCAGAAAATGAGGCAAGGAGTGAGTGATAGTAAAATGTCAGACAAGTAGACCAAGTGTGAAAGGTCAAAAAGTTAAGAAGGAATGGGAGGTGAACAGGTAGATAGCAATGACTTGTTTTACCACTTATATCATTTTAAAAATATTTAATTTAGGCCAGACCTTGTTTTTTCTATGATATTCTTTCAGAATCTAGTATGATAGCTTTTCTTTAAATTAGGGGATATACTTATTTTATGATTATGTAATCAGGCAGGTTTACTAATCAAGAAGACTGTGTTATTTTAAAAATCTGGCCACTGATAAGTAGTAGTAACATTTTCTATGTTGCTATTCTGTACTACATTTAAAAGTCTTTCTCTGTATAAAATATGCACGTCTTTCTCACAAACTTGTTCATATTAATGCATAGAAATGTAAACAAATGTAAATCAGAGGAAATGAGGTGGAAGACTAGACATTCCCTAGGTTCTTTCAGAATAAAACTAGCATGGAAATTTTGCCATATTGATGAAACATTAGTATATAGTAACATTAATTGAGAATTTATTATGTGAGGCACTGTGCTAAGTATTTTACATGAATTAACTTATTTAATGCTTATAAAATTCTTCTGAGGTAGGGCGTTTATTCCACCTTTACAGATGAAAAAACTGAGGTACAGAGATTGATTAGCTTGGCCAGAGTTACATGGCTAGTAGGATTTGAACACATGCATTGGGCTCTAGAGCCAGTGTTCTTAAATAAACATTATAGTATTCTTCAATACTAACAGTAACATTTATTTTATTGTTTTATGAAGTTTCACACCTTCAAACGTTGGATTTCTGCAAAGATAATGTTTTCCATAATAAGTACCCCAGGAGGGATATTAGTCTAATTTAAAACCTGAAATTTTCTATAGGGATGAGTATGAAGAGTTTAAGCAAGTGGGAAAGTACTGAAGAAGATACATTTTCAGTGTTGATTGATACTGTCTTCTGAGAAAGAGAAAAATCCCTGGTGAGGAAGGGGGTTAAGGATTGGAATTGGATAAATTAGCCCTTTGAAATTTTGTCGTTTTATGAAGAGATGAAAAGAGGATTCAGAAGATCTTAGTTCTAATACGGACTGCTTTATCAAGACGTTTTTGGCTGTGTATAAATACCTAACTTCTAGCTTTTTTATTAGTAATTATTTGTTTATTTTAGCGAGACTCAAATCTTGAGTGTAATAATTTGGGGACCAGGAGTAGGTTTAACATCAAAAAATCTCACTATATTGCTGCCAGGATACCCTCTCTGAAAAACACAGCTTAATCTAGCTGCAGTTTTCTCGATCCAGTTTCAGATGGTTGAATATGTAAAACTAATTGCTAGTTTAACTTTAGTGTCTACATTTTTGCCACTGCTTTTTCTATTTTTGCAAACTCAGTCGCGTGGTGTAGAAGTCATCTTCTGCTATCAGGATATCTGGGACATGTATCTGTAGGTCATAGGAGGTATTGGGAAGGACTTGCTCTGTGGCTTTGGGCAATTCATTTCTCTGTGCCTCAATTTCTTTATAAAATGGCAGTAGTAGCAATAATATCCATTTCACAGGGTTGTGAGGATTAGATGAGTAAATACATGTAAAGCACTCATAGTAAGCGGTAGTTACAGTTTAAACTTGTGTCTCATACTGAAAACCTGTTGCCTCTTCCTGTAAATCTGAATACCACCAAAAAAAACCAAAAAACGTCAAAACAGACTTGGGTTTGCTAATGCCATAAGGAGCCTGAAATAATTATGTAACTGTGAGGACATCATTCTGAGTGGTAGACTGTTTAAAAATACAGTAAACCCCTGTGTTACGAACCCGACTTAGGACAACCCTTCAGTGTTATGTAAATTTGCCCTGACTTTGAAATGATTGAACCAACCCCTACTCTCAACAAATTCTTCATCACAATCACCTTCATTAAATCATCGAAAAGGCTTCAAGCCTTTTCTTAACACTAACTAAAAATTCATTGTCCTCAAGTCAATTCCAGTGCATAGTGACCCTGTAGGACAGAGTAGAACTGCCCCATAGGGTTTCCAAGGCTGTAATCTTTATGGAAGTGATCATCAGGTCTTTGCTCCCACAGAGCAGCTGGTAGGTTCGAATCACTGACATTTTGGTTAGCAGCTGCGTGCTTTAACCACTGTGCCACCAGTGCTCCTCTTGCACTAAAGTAAGGCTAAATAAGAACCGCATGCACCTGTTCTGACTTACCTACAAATTCTTAAAGACACACTTAGGAACAGATCTGTTTGTAACCTGGGGACTGCCTGTAGCTTATTTGGGGTTTACAGTTAAACTCTTTCTCTGTGTTGAAAGTTACTTTTGATAGTTCCTGAATTCTTTTTTCATTCAATGGAGTCATACACACCTCTAGCTTGTGATCTATTGTTGGTTTAGTAGATGATTAGAAATTGGTAAATGTTCTGTCATACATGTTGATTGTGTAATCGAGCTCTTTCAAGTAAGGCAGGAAGGGTCATCTGTATTAAATGAATACGCATAAAGTTCTGTGCTTTGAAAAAGGGTACTCATCACACAGTATTTAAAAAGAAAGTTTTAGTGAATTTTGGACAGTTGGTGAATACGGGTACTCCATAGGTTATGTGATAAATCTATTTGCATTATGCCAGTTATCTTGAAAAGGTGCATCATTTGCCTTATTTTCCATTTTTATGGGTTACAACCTTAGGAGTTTAAATTTGAGATGGAAAGGCCTTTAGCATTTAGTTTTTCATTTTGTTTATAGAATGCTCATCTCATCCACAAAGTCAAGCGTTTGTAAATTTGCAGATTGTTTTGCTTAATGGAACAATTTGTAATTTAGGGAACATCAGTATTTGGATACAGTTAGTGAAAATTAAGGCTGGAATGTGATAACTGCAGTAGTTCAGGTTGGTGAAGAAGGACAGTTGAGGTATTGCTCTAGGGAGCATGCCATCATGATTTGGCATGTGAAACTCCCTAGCCTAGAAAATTGATGTGTTGTAATACACGTTGCTTTAGATTAAATTTCTTCTAGTGAATTTTAAAATCTATGTATGTGGGGTATAAATTCAAATGCCACGTATTTTATTTAGTTGATATTGTTAATAATAATGTAATGACATTTTTGTAAAACTTCCTGTTAAGTCTTTAAGGTAATTTTGTAGGGAAAAACGTTGGTCATTTTATCTCCTTCTATGCAGCGTAATAACAAGTTGACTTAGATTAAAATAATAATGGAAAACAAGGTGGTCAGTGATAATCTAGCAGTTGAGGTTGCCAAACAGTTGTCTGGGCAACCCTCATGGCTTGGGTTACTTTGCAGTAATACATAATTAATATATTTTTGTTGAAAAGTTTTTATTGGTTTTTAGTGTTATAGAACATTACCAGTCTCATATCTAGTCTTCAGAAGATTAATACCGTGACTCATGATTTGAAAAATAATCATCTCCCTTAGAAAAAAGACATTACATTAATAATTGTTTTTAACCTTTCTGTAGCATGATGACAGAGATGATGGTGTGGATTATTGGGCTAAAAGAGGAAGAGGTCGTGGTACTTTTCAACGTGGCAGAGGGCGCTTTAACTTCAAAAAATCAGGTAGCAGTCCGAAGTGGACTCATGACAAATACCAAGGGGATGGGATTGTTGAAGATGAAGAAGAAACCATGGAAAATAATGAAGAGAAGAAGGACAGACGCAAAGAAGAAAAGGTAGAAAATCTCAGCTTATTTGAAGAAAGAATTTTTTCAGTATGGGTTTGGAGGGCAAATTAAAATGAGTTAATGATTTAATTTTTAAGAACAATAATTATAGTTCATTTTCACTCTTTACAACTTCGTTAATCTTTATTTTTCTCTTTGTTCTTTAGGAATAGTAAATCTGAAGTAAGATTACAGCAGAGAACAGAACTTAACACCCACCATTTTATTTTTAAACCTGATTTTTGTTTTCAAATAAGAATGTAAGCATTTCACTTAAATTTAACTGTTTGCAAGTAGTCTATAGATATTTTGTTTTAAGTCTTTAAATATCTTGAAAAATAGTAGACTGTATGTTGAAAATTGTACTGAAATAAAGTAGAAAATTGTTAACGTACCATATTTGTAACTATCAACTTAAAAAAACTTTTGCTGTTTTTGTTACATGCATTGTAATTCTGCTTTGTCTATAAGATACGGTCAAGTACAGCTCTGTGAAAAGTTCTGATTCTCTTTCCTCCCTGTTAATGTTTTATTCTGAAGTAAACTTTAGCTCTACATACAAATAAATCTCTGAACAGAAATTGCTTGTAGAGACCACACTTTTATCTGTGTACATCTGTTTAACATTTTTCTTAATTTGAACACACTACACCGTAGGGTGACTAATTTTTGAAGTGTACCACAGAACAAGTTGTTAAGTTGATAAACTAAGCTAGTTTAACACTTCAGGTGTTTAGAAGGGGAAAAAAAGCTTTGCCAATAACTAAAAAGTACAAGCTATTAAAAGTTAGATTGAAAAGTTTGAGAGAATTTTTTTTGTTTACTGAAAGCAAGCACTGACCTATAAACATTGTTAGGAGCTTTTCCTATTTGGGTTCAAAATTCAGTGTTCTTTTTCCATTTTTATTTGAAAGTTTGAGTCATGGTCTTAGATATCAGCTATTCTTTGATAGAGGAAACTGGCTTGCAGTGATACTGCAAAAAAAAAAAATGTCATTCCTACTGAATGTCTTAGTAGTAACAAAACCAAAACAACAAAATTTGTTATCTTGTTATGGAGGAGGAATATCCTGCAGAATAATTTGATACATTATAACCACGTAGCTGATTTCATATCTTACCTGTGTATTTGGACTTTAAAACAGGTGAAACATGGGTTTGTAGTCTAACCATAAGAAGTTGCTGAAACAAAGCTTACTCTTATTCATTAGTATTTTAAGTACTTGTTTTTCAAATGTCATCAATAAAAAGTTTTGGTAGGAAGCTTGTTGCAGCATTGCTCTAACTTGATTTTTATTTTTTTTCCTATTTCATTTGCAGTTTGTAAACTGCCGCGTCCCCCCAAGTGTTCTATTCTTCAGGTGGATAATCTTTCAAATGTGAATTACCTTTGATATTTATAGCTCTTAAAAGAATGAAAGTCTGAAATAGTAAATTTTAGTGTTAAGTTTGTCTGCTTTATGAGCATATGTAAGACAACTCAGATTTCACTTGTTAATTCAACTGAATTAGTTCTGTGTTTACGTTAAAAAAAGACATTGCTTATTCTGTTAATGTAAACTTTTAAAGATTGTAAACGTATGACTCTTTTCATCCTCACATTTGATCATTTGCAGTGCTTCTAGCACCTTGATTCTGGCAGGAGCATTTAAAAGGTACTGCGGGAAAAACTAAACAAAACCCAATATATGTGATGTTTATGGCCATAAGATCTTACTTTTACATGATTTCCCCTATTAATTTTGCCATTCTGAATATGTTCTGGAATTGTTAAAGTGGTGGAAATACCTTCAAAGAATGTGTATGGCATTAATCAGGAAGTAACTAATATTTGCCTGTTCAGATCAGTACTTATATATGTTTTAAAGCAACATAGATGTGATCCTCAACACAGGATAATTTTATGACTTTTATGCAAATTAGCTTTTATTTTTACAGTCACTGTATGGTTAGAAAATTAATCTCTATGCATGACTATAAATATGCTGTTTTGCTTTTCGGCTTCAGTCTATAGGAAAAAGTGGATTTGTTGAGAAATTATTTAAGAGGAAGTGGGGATAAAGTTACCCAAGTCCTGTGGGCAGGTTATATTTTAAGTACAAATGAATTGCTTTAAATATAACATGATTTGGTTAGCTTTACTCTCTTAAACATTTATAATTGAGAAAAGAGTATCCTACCAGAATATAGTAGGACAGAATGATTGTGAGAACTCTCAGTTGAATGCCCTTCTGGATGTTGCTGTTACCCTTTTCAGAGCCAAGGATATAAAAAGTAGCTTGTGTGTATTTTTTTAAATCATAATTTATCTTCACACTTTGATACGTTAAAAGCTGAATAGTTCCTCTTGCTAAGATGTTACCTGTTTTTAAGTGCCAGGATATACTCTGTTACCTGCATTGACAGACTTCCTTTTGCCTAGAGAAGGGAAATAAAAATGAACCAAAGGATATATCCAGAAAGGATTAAGAAGGCCATGACTCAGTTCTTAGGTGTGTATAACTTCCAATCATCCTAGGAATATAAAAGCAAAAATATGTTTTTCCATTTGCAGTCTATTTACAAGGAATTACTCTGATTCCCTTTTGTCACAGTTAATATCAGTGTTGGGAATTGTAATTTGAGAAAAATTACCCAGTAAGAATGAATGTGGATGGCTAAACCACTCTTAGTGCGATGTATAATGGAGGAGGGACCCTTGTAAATTGTCATATGCCAATAAAATGTCTTAAGTGATAATAGCTGTTGTTTATTTACATAATTTTGAGACTATTCCTGTGTCCTGTACAACAAGTTGTATGGCCTATTTCTAGATGCTAGATTATCAGCTTACGGGGAAATCACTGGTGTGGTATGGCTTTTTTGGGGATTGAAAAATGCTTCATGAAATTCCTCAAACCCCTATTTAGTGTTTACTCTTGCTTCCTCTGGGAAAATGGGAAATTTTTTACAGTTAGTGAGCCTGTGCCATTACTAAAGAATTCAGGAATTGCAGATTTCTAGTTTAGCCCTCTTGTTCCTCTGCTAATATTGGGAGCTTACCAGCCATGGTATAATGATGGAGAATCAGCATTGCTTCTCTTCCTTTTTAAAAATATAGTAGCCAATTAATTTTTAAAAGTTGTCTTTGTCAGTCTTTGTTTACATTGAGTAAGATCTGGTGTTATTCTTACCTTGCCATTCTTTTAAGGTATTTCATAATACAAAGTGTACCATTCCCTCAACTTTAAACAAAGCATTTTCACAGAAATTTGTGCTAAGATGAAGTGACACATTTTGACTCATACAAATGACAGATTATCCCTTTAATTAAAATTTTGTTAGAGAAATAACTGTGTGTGTGTGTATGTATAAAAGGGTGTGAAAACCATTTGTAGGTGAACTGTACTGGGTAATCAGTGTCATATACACGCTTCTTACATAAAAGAGTGCTCTCTTAATTAGGGACATTTATTTGACCTTTTTTAGGGTTTACGCAGTTTTCCTCTACAAGTTTACTGTTCAAAGGTTTGAACTAGAATTCCTTTGTGATACACCTTACGTTTCAGTATCCTTTCACATTCAGAAAGAAAAGAAACCTGTCTAAATCTGTGAAGTTGCTAAATAGGTGAGGCAAATGAAGAAATAAACTTCATTGTCATGGGCTTGTATTTGGCTAGACTCAGTCTCCGAGAACATGCCTTCACAAAGTTATATATAAATATTTTACATAAGGAATTCTCTGTTATATGCAGTTAGGGTTCTCAAGTAGCTGAAGCCATTACTGTTAAATCTAAATGTCAGAGGCTTGATCGTTCGTTTTGTTGAGGTAACAGTAAAATTTTAGGAGTCTATTTTAATAGCATTTTAAATGAGTACAGTTTGTTATTGCACATTAATCTTTTAGGATCCATGGATGTTTGGAAATAACTTGTATTCCATTGCCTAACTCTAGAGCCCTAGAGAGTGTTGATTTGTGAGCGGATTCCGAAATGATTGTTTAGTACGTATCAGTTATGCTAACGAGGCCAAAGTTGTATTTTTAATTAGAGGTGCTAGTTCTTTTTATGAAGTCCCCTGTGGCACAGATGGTTACGTGCGTGACTACTAACCAAAAGGTTGATGGTTTGAATGCACCCAGAGGTGACTTCAAAGACCTGACAGTTCACTTTTGAAAGGTCACAGCCATTGAAAACCCTATGGAGCACAATTCTCTGAAACATGGAGTTGGCATGAGTAGCAGTCAACTCAGTGGCAGCTGGAAAGTTATCTTAATATTGTTACTACATTGTACTATAGCCTTTAAAAATGGGTTCCACTGGTTAGTATAGGACAGTAGTTAATTACTACTACTGGAAAAGAGACTCAAATAATGTCTTAAGTATTTCAATCATTATTGCTATGAACATTTTAGGTGTTTTGTTTTCACATCAGTGAACTGTTTTGCAGCACTTTTAAAATGAAGATAACCTTGATTCTTGCAAGTAGAAAAGAGTTGGGGACAAGTAGGCTTAAATGCTATTATCCTCTCCTCAATCAGAATTAGATTTATCTTAATCTTTTGAGGTTGTCCAGCTTCCCGACAATAAAAATGAGAGCTCCGTTTACGAAGAGTAAATGATAGTAAGTATACCTTACAATTAGGTGACTTAAAAAGATTTACATTCACAGTGTGAAGTATGTGTTTGACAATGATAACTTGAAACTATTGTAGTAATTGCAAATGTCAAGGAATGCAGAGAGCCACAAAGAAGAATATCAACTCTCCTCCAGAACAGTAGTTTCCTTACAACTTTATCTAGTCCTTGACTATGGAAGATAGTAAGTTTTGTTTTGTCTTATTTGTAGTAGAAAGGAGAAACTCTGCACCGCTTGGTTTTGAAAGCTTCCAGAGTACTTGTAAGGCTGCCATGGGGATATGTAAATGCACTTGATTTTTTGTTTTAAAGTTGTATGTCGTCACCATCATCACTACACTTATGCATAAAATACAATGAATAAAGTACAGAAGTTAACAGTTAATGCCAATATACAGTTATTAAAATGAGTTACAGAAATAGGTGGAGTCATTTTTACTTTAACATAGAACTGAGAAGTCAGTAGTCTGCGTAGAGAAATTGAAGTGCTGGATTGAAATTCAAGTGCTGTGGGAAATGTCCCATTTATCTTTTAAGATTTAATTAGAACTTCTAAATTCAGTTGGAGTGAAAAATTGATGGCTTTTTATTTGAAAGGAAAAGAACACTTCTATACATGATTTATTGTAAAATATGTTGTGGTAATACATTCTTTATAATAGACTATTTTTCAAAGTGTATATTCTTTCCTTTGATATTCCGGAAAAAAAGGCAATGTAGTTACCGTTTTCACCCTATGACCCGCTCAGGAGCAACATAATTGATTCATGCTGTATCTATGACTCGGGCAACAATTTAGAAAATACATATTTTGTTAATTAGCCCAACGCCAGAAGAGAACATGAGTTTGTGAATAGATGCTGAAACAGAGGGGACTGTGGTACACAATTCTGTGTCTAAAATGAACCATTTGTTCTGGGGAGCATAACTTCCTGATATCAAACTCGAGATACTTTGTCCTTGGGTTTTCATGAAGAATGTCATTAACATGGTCTGCAGTAGTCTAGCGTAACAACAGTGTTTGAAATGGCTGTTTCTGGTAACATTTTTTTCCAGCTGACTGAAGTCATAATGCCAGAGTTTGACAGTATAAACAAGAGGACTTGAAACAGCCTTGGCTGAATACAGTAGTGCTCCAGGTGTTAATTGTTACGGATATCTGTAGGCCTTACCCTTTTTTGAATGAATTGTTGTTAAGTGCTGTTGATTCCTATTCATATGGACCTTATGTACTACAGAATGAAACACTGCCCGGTCCTGCGCCATGCTCGATCATTATGCTTGAGCCCATTGTTGCAGCCACTGTGTCAATCCATCTCCTTGAGGGTCGTCGTCTTTTTTGCTGACCCTGTACTTTACCAAGCATGATGTCCTTCTCCAGGGACTGATCCTCCTGATAACATGTCCGAAGTATATAAGTAGTAGTCTCTCCATCCTTGCTTCTGAGGAGCATTCTGGTTGTACTTCAAAGACAGATTTGTTCGTTCTTCTGGCAGTCCATGGTATATTCAGTATACTTCGCCAGCGCCACAGTTCAGAGCCATCAATTCTTCGGTCTTCCTTATTCATTGACCAGCTTTCGCATGCATATGATGTGATTGAAAATACCCTGGCTTGGGTCAGGCGCACCTTAGTCTTCAAGGTGACATCTTTGCTTTTCAACACTTTACAGAAGTAGAAGATTTGCCCAATGTAATGCATCTTTTGATTTCTTGACTGCTGCTTCCACGGGTGTTGATTGTGGATCCAAATAAAATGAAATCCTTGACAACTTCAGTCTTTTATCCGTTTGTCATGATGTTGCTTATTGGTCCAGTTACAGCAATTTTTGTTTTCTTTATGTTGAGGTACAATCCATACTGAAGGCTGTGGTCTTTGATCTTCATCAGTAAGTGCTTCAAGTCCACTTTCAGCAAGCAAGGTTGTGTCACCTCCATAATGTAGGTTGTTAATGAGTCTTCCTCCAATCCTGATGCCCCATTCTTCATATAGTCCAGCTTCTCGGATTATTTGCTCAGCATACAGGTTGAATAGGTATGGTGAAAGGATACAACCTTGATGCACACCTTTCCTGACTTTAAACCATGCGGTATCCCCTTGTTCTGTTTGAACAACTACCTCTTGATCCATGTAAAGGTTCCTCATGAGCACAATTAAGTGTTCTGGAATTCCCATTCTTTGCAATGTTATCCATAATTTGTCACGATCCACACAGTTGAATGCCTTTGTATAGTCAATAAAACACAGGTAAACATCTTTCTGGTATTCTCTGCTTTCAGCCAGAATCCGCCTGACGTCAGCAATGTTATCCCTGGTTTCAGGTCCTTTTCTGAATCCAGCCTGAATGTCTGGCAGTTCCCTGTTGATACGCTGCTGCAGCCCCTTATGAATGATCTTCAGCAAAGTTTTACTTGCATGTAATAATATTGTTCAATAATTTCTGCATTCTGTTGGATCACCTTTCTTGGGAATAGGAATAAATATGGATCTCTTTCAGTTGTCTGGCCAGGTACCTCTCTTCCAGATTTCTTGGCATAGATGAGTGAGCACTTCCAGCGCTGCATCCGTTTGCTGAATCATCTCAATGATAACTCCGTCAATTCCTGGAGCCTTGTGTTTTGCTGATGCCTTCAGTGCAGTTTGGACTTCTTCAGTCAGTACCATCGATTCCTGATCATATGCTACTTGAAATGGTTGAACATCAATTCTTTCTGGTATAATGACTCTATTCCTTCTCTCTTTTGATGTTTCCTGTGTCGTTTAATATTTTCCCCACAAAATCCTTCACTATTGCAACTCAAGGCTTGAATTTTTTCTTCAGTTCTTTTCAGCTTGAGAAA